GTTCGCGCGAGTCGTTTTGGAAAAAGTTGTCGAAAGTTGCTTGGATTTCGTGAATGTTCAGTGGACGATGGTTTTCGATGGTTCATTGTGTTGTCATTCGGTTTTGCATTGGAAGTTTCCAGTGGAGCGAGTAACGTGCGGATTTCATAAATATAGACTTACACCTTCCCGACGTGTCTATCCCGATATTATTATCACTACTATTATTATTAATCCCCGCTCGATGGTCTCGGGATCAGTTTAACACTCGACGCGTTTACTATAATAATAAATAACAGGTGATGTGGAGAAACTGAGTTGCAAGAGGTGAGGTGGGAATTCGGTCTCGCGGCGAAAGTCGCGAATTCAATTCGACGAATGGGAGTATCGCGCGAGTGTAAGTAAAATGTCGATTCGCGTTTGGGAATATTTAGTTATTGTACGTAGTGCGTGTCCAGGGTGAGCATACGATTGTTTATTCCACGAAATTACTAACTATAAATATACAAAACCTACGAAAATAAAGAGAGAACACGGAAGTTTGAAATTTTCGAAGTGAAGCGGGAAACGCAACTCGTATTTAAAGCTGATAGTGAACATTCCCACTTTGATAAACAATTACAGCGAACAGCTACGAACCCTCAAAGAAACCCAGAGATCATTCGATTAGGAAAAACTTTCCACATCCCTCACGTTCGCGGCTCGATCAATTTCAACTTCGCGCTCTCGTAACTTCTTCAGTGGAGTAAGTCGACACTGGTCAGACCTGTTTTATCCTCGAAATTCAATTAGCGCGATCGCTGGAGTTCAAGAAAGAGGGTCGGTGGTTGAACACTGCGGCGAAGTGTGACGAATCGACCGTAGATCCTTGTGCAAATTCAAATTTCGAATCGGACAATCAGAAACAGAATTACAAAGTGAAATAGCTTTTCCAGCAAGTATTACACGAAGCACTGCGCTACAATTCGTACACCTGTTAAATTGAAAAGAATAAGAATCCATAGATTTCGTACATTTCTTCGCATCGTACGTATCCTAGATGATGTTGAAAAGAGAAAACTTCGTAGAGTTTGTATATTTCTTTGTCTTGTGCATTCTACGCAATTCAACTACTCCAATCTTCCAGTAAATGCCTAAAAACCCACAGACCAGTAATGATGAATAACGAGCAAGCTTCCAGTAACTGTATAAAAGTCCATAAAATTATTAAATAAAAAGACTCTATAGAGTTTGTATATTTCTTTGTCTTGTGCACTCTATGCAATTCAAATATTCCAATCTTCCAGTAAATGCCTAAAAACCCACAGACCAGTAATGAAGAACGACAAGCAAGCTTCGAGTAACTGTATAAAAGTCCATAAAATTATTAAATAAGGAAAACTCTATAGAGTTTGTATATTTCTTTGTCTCGTGCATTCTATGCAATTCGGGTTGTTAAAAGTTCCAGTAAATGCTTAAAAATCCAGCGAGTAGCGACGATGAACGCCGAGGCTGGCTTCAGAGATGAGTACCTTGGCAGAGAGACGTTCCTTCGGGATAACCGGACATCGAAGCTGGCAACCGAAGGGACTCGGTGGCCAGAGAGTCGCGGTTTATCCTAGCTGATCGATACAGCCATAGCTCTCGTTTATTTATGCTCTTTGCCAGCCTCTTTCCGCGTGCTCTGCCTCTCGAGTCCGAGCGGCACCGACTCCGCTCTCCCGCGACCCGCCTGGTAACGGTTCCGATTTCGCGACCCGCTCGCTCCAAAGTTCCTCGAGGACCCTCGATGCCGCGGATCGCAATCGAACCCCGCCTCCCTCTCTCATTCACCCTTTAAATCGGTCGGATAGGGAAAAACAAGCGGAATATCCGACGCGAACACGGGTCGCACGCTCCTTCGAGTCGCGATTTTAAGCTTCGTCGAGACGCTTTATGGCGAACGCACGGCGGAGGAGAGGAAGAAGAAGAAAATGGAGACACTGATGGTTTCAGGTACACGGTCAAGTTCCTCTGAAAGATTTTCATCTGGCTCGAACGAGAATTTCCAGCGGCGTTCGATTCTTTGGTAGTGGACACGTGTCAGTGGTTGATCTGTATTTTCTGTCTTCTCGTACGTTGATTAGCGATAGCGCGTTGGAGAACAGTTGAATTGTTGTTTCGATTATTTAATAGACACAAGAAGTCCGTAGAAGTTTCAAGTATTTTTATGAAAACTTCGAGAAATTGAATTAGGAATGTAATTAGAAAGCACGAGAGAATGCTCACGTTATTGCGTCTTATTTCTCTTGTGTGTTCTTTTATGAATATTTCACGAGTATGTGTTAGCGATGCCGATGAATGCGGAGCTTTCAAGATGTCGTGCGTGGCGCAAGCTGACAACATTAGCGGAATGTCGAAGTTTCACGCGCGGATCGTGAAAATGCCCGCGCGGAACGATTATTCCGGCGAGCAGGAATTCGCCGCGTTTGGTATCGAAGCAGCCAATTAAACCGGGATAATACACCGGTCGATCCCGCCGGAATTCGCCCGACGCGAGATTTCGTTCCGCTTTGTCGCGCGGATCCGGCCGCGGACAAAGCGTTCCGGCGGCCGCGGCTCGCGCAGCGAAATTATCCGGAATCGCTGGGAACGCTGATGACTGGGCCACGATTATTCGAATGGGATCGAGCAACCTCGCGGACGTCGAATGAATTTGAATATAATAATTACTCGAACGAAGGAAACTTTAGACGAATTGTAAAACTATGTTATCTACAGAAAGCAGAGGACACGCGGGGAAAACTGAACAATGGAACATTGTATGTTACCGTTTCAACATATTTCATGCTGTTTCATATTATATGTTTAATTACACAACTCGCAACAGCTTTTTGTAATAGCACCCGAAGCAAAGAGTGGAATGGCTACTAATAAAGGATAACGAAGCAATCAGAATTTGAAATATTAAATACCCACGTATTTTTGCAACAATCTGTAAACGTAATTACCAGTTTCGTAGACTTTGTTTCAACAACCAGCTCATATCAATCGAAGATTGCAATTTTTCAGTGCTAGCAAGTAGAAACATCTACCAATGATCAGGCACGTTTCGTTGTACACTTCGCAAATATTTCTGAAGATTAAAATTAGAGGAACCCGGAACGTCTTCCATTTACAAACGCATAAATGAAGCCTTTCAAGTATTAGCAAGTAGAAACATCTAGCAATGATCAGACGCATTCTACAGCATTATTCGCAAATATATTTTGAAAATGAAGGATTCGAAGAATCCATGAAATCTGTCACCTATTTAGAAACATGTAAACGAAACCTTACAGTACCAGCAAGTAGAAACACCTAGCAATGATCAGACTCCTTTCATCATACTTCATTCCGCGAATATTTTTCAATTCCTCGGATGTTTAATTCGAGTCCCGCTCGCGGATCAAAGTGGCCAGCTGCTCGCAAGCGTTGGCCACTGGAAAATACGCATTACGACGATCCGGAAGGCGCGATTACGCTTTGCGAGCGGTTTCCGTGTCGATTCCGATTAGCGTCTGACTTGGCCGTACGCGAAATCGCGGCGGTAGATCTCGCGCGTTACGGAAAGGAATTACGATGTCGCGATACTCGTTCGCGAAATTAACATAAAAACGCACGCGGGTCCCGCGCGCGCAACGGGATTTCCTCAGCCGTCGACGCAGCGGCCGGGTAATTAATTATCGAACGATTCGCTCCGCCGAGGGCGAGGCTGATTTATTCGCGCGACCGCCGCCCGTTTCCCCGATACTCCCGCGAATTTAAATAATCGCCGACGTTTCCCTTTATTTACATTCAACGCGCGCCCCTAACTGGATCGACCGGCCATTCTCGCGCGCAATTCTTACTCAAACCGAGAAACGCGTCGATATCCTCCGCCAACGGACATTTCTGATACATTCTTTTCTTTTCTTCTCTTTTGTTTTCATTTTTTTTTTAGTAAATGGAAGTACTTCGATATAATTGATACAATATACTCGAAGCCTGACGGGCGTAAATATATTCTGTATTAAAGACGACGGACTGAAAGAGAAATTATTTTTACTCCTGGCACCTTTAAGCGGAAAGCGCGAGATGCAGTCGAACACGCTGAGCGAACTGAATTCCGAGCCTTCGTGAAAATCAGCTTCATCACATTTATTCTTACATACTTGGTAAACAAACATTCCAAGAAGATCCTTCGGAAACAATTTCCAATCGTTCTATTCGTTTCCAAAGTCTATGAGACTCTTAAAGACTGAATTTCTCGTCTACGTCCATCCAAGTTAAATTCAAACCTATACGTAGTTTTTCTATATATTTTTCTATTTGTTCGTCCTAATTCGTCTCGTTCTCAGAATACTTTAAACGCCTTGAAATACAAGTGTATTTTGGTATTCAGTAAAATTGCGAAATACCAACTGCTCTCTGGTAACTACTCTTCCCCCCGATGAATGTTCTATTAGTAACAATACAATGGCAAAATATTGCCATTCCTTTGTAACGAGTACACTCGTAATAACAACGCATATTGCCAATTCTTCACGACGAGTATACTCGTAATATCAACGCATATTGCCAATTCTTCACGACGAGCATACTCGTAATAACAAAACATGTTGCCAACTCTTCGCGACGAAGTATACGCGTCGTAACAAAGCACGCTGCCGATTCTTCGCGACTGGTAGTAACACGAAATATCGGGATTTCGTCGTGACGAGTATACTCGTCGATGACAGGTAACTGGTTAATTGACTCGCGGGTTCGCCGCGACGAATGCTCGTCCAGGAGAGCACCAATTAGATCGTCGGCCCGCACAAGAGGGCCTGGCTTTGATTCCGCGTCGTTCGATCCGCTTCCCTGCCCCCCGGACCAATTAGTTACTTACCAGGCACGGCTCTCTAGCCCCGGTCAATGCTAATTCGTCCCTTGAGCCGGCCGCGGCGGCCATTTTCCGCGGAGGGGCAGGAACTCCGCGCGGAACACGCGGCCGAGGGAGCGATCGCGACGGAAGACGGGTTTGAGAGAACCCGAGAGGAACCGTGACCGCGTAATGAACTTTTCGGCGCTCGATCCCAGCTTTTTCCCCACTTTCCCTCTGTCCTCCTCCTTTTTGTTCCGAAAGGAATCCCGCAACTGGGTCGCGCCGCGCTCGTTACGTGCCGGCGATTCTTTTATTCGTTTCCCGTGCGGCGGATCCGCCGACGCGTTTTCACGCTCTATCGTCGCGCGTGCGATCCACCGCTACACGCTGCTGTACGCTCTCGCGAGCGAAGGGGTGAAGGAACTTCCGGTATAGAGAAGAATCGAGAGGACAGCGAGGTTCGAGCGATTCTCCTGCTTTTTTGGGGAATTAACTCTGCTGCTGCATTTGGAATATTACTGGGAAAATGGGAGCAGACACGCCAGGGATCAGCTTTTTGTACTTTTTTCCGATTCAGAGGTGTCCTTGAGAGGATGAGGATGCAGCTGCGTTGAGAAAGATTGATGGAATGTAGTTTTTATTATTGATGAAGCGAAAATATGGTAGAGGATTCAGTTGATTCTTGTAAAGCAGATTGTTTTCAAGTGATCCTAATTTTGTGCTTCGTAGAAGTTTCGCTTGGTAGATTTTTGATTTGGGCATGTGGAGTTTAAGGTAACGGATCGCGAGATATGGATTTCACGGTTCGTCGAACTTCAGCGCCGGTTATACTCACAGTGTCCAAGTCGATGCGGTGGTTAAAGACGGTTCGAGGGTGAGGTATCGGCGAAGATGATGGCGGAGGTGGAGGAAAGGCCCTTCCTTCGATGCTGCGAGGGGCAGATCCGCTTTTCCGCCCTTCCGTCTACATTCCCAGTTCACGGATCATCGCTCGGCTGCAACAGCCAAGTGGGAAATTGAGTTCGACGGGATCACCGGTGAAAAATTCGATTCGAATGTGTCACGCGACACGGGTGATCTGTACTAAAAAATAACTGGCAAGTATTCGACTATTCCGGGCTCCATTTAATATATCACATATTATCAATATCCTTTTTAAAAAATAACTACTTGCCAGTGGAAATTTTCCAATGAATTTTCTAATAAAAATGGCGACTGCAGTATGAGACCCCTACAGTGATCAAACGTATGCTGTACCTTCACGATACAATTTATTTCCCAAACTGCAAATATTTTTATTAACATATCCATTGATTCTAACTCGTAAGCGAAAGAAGAGTTATCGTCACAAGTTTCACTACACAGCTCCAATGATCGAACAGACCTCGAATAGTTCAGCAGTAAATTTCACGAGTTACACGTGCAACCTAACGATTTCTCGAGCAACGAAATACTTTCGATTCGACAGGAACGTTCCGCAAATGATCTGTAAACGAGGAGTAAGGGACGCGGCGAGAGGGTAAGATTTCACTCGATCGGGATAATGGCGCGGAGAGCTCGGTAACAGTTCGAGCCGGGGACGGAGCCAGAAAGAAGCTTTCGCGTCCCGTCTTCCATTATGCTCGCGGTTGTTATCCCGAGGGACTCTCCGCAAATAAGAAATAATTGTCGGCTCGCTCCATAATAGTTCGTTCCCGTTCCGATATCCGTCTCGGGTACCTACCCGCGAGAAACGGGAACAGGGCTTTCAATTTCTTAGCGAGTCGTTTGCGAGCCGCGGGAAT